AAATTCACGGTTGCTCTACCTTGTAAAAGAAAAATGTTCACATTATTAGAATGAACATTGTGTCCGGTGTTAACGAATCGATGGCGCTTCTCAGAAATTACAAAATCATGGAATTTTGATGATAAAAGACATTTTCCGACATATGATGTCAAATATCAAACTATGGATAAATTACCATTGCCACCACTTAACATGTGTTTGGTACACTGCGGGAAAGCAGATCTGCGTCATCAGGGGAATGAATATTAGAAGTCATATGATCTACTAGGAAGAACGTGCTATGGTTTGCGAAATGATTGACTTCCAATTCCAGCATTGGTTGCAGAATAAAAACACCTGAAGCAATGATATTTTTAAGAGCGCAGGTTTTGATGCGGTATGCGTGACGTCCTAGTTTGAATAGACGTTTTTAGAACGCATAGTATTTTTCTTCCTCCGAGTTACAGAGTTTCGAGTAATTATGAATACATTTTGCTGTCTATTAAAGTCAACTGTTTCTCAGTATGCTACAGTAACTCATTCATCTATTTATTGAGGTCTCCATAGAAAATTCATAAAAAGCTAAATGCTGAGTAGAGATCACTATCAAAGATAGCTGTGCAAATGGCGCAGAGATCCATTAGAATCATTCGCACCTGTTTCAAGTATCGAAGAGACTGTGTGTTGCAATCGCCAACAAGTCGTAATTGACAGTGATTGCGGATTGCACTCAATTAAGTTGAAAACTGCATCTGTCTAGATGAAACAGGCCCAAAACGTACATGAGTAAAGAAAAGCAAAATGCTTGTGTGTCGAAAAGTAGAAACTAGAGAAAAGGTATTTTTCTTGCCACTGCAGAGATTTTCTTAACTTCAAGTAGGACACTCAGTGCTTGCTCTGTGTGATGTAACTGAAGTGTAAAACTGGGAATGTATAGATTAAAGCTAGAAAGTAAACCGTTTCAACGTGTAAAGGGGTCCATAAAATGTGTTTTCAGTTGCTTTCTATCCTGTTCGTTGAGGTTTCTTTCAAAAACTGTGCCGATTGTATTCTGAAAGAAACCAAGCACACGATTCACGGAGTAATAAAGAGACTCACAAGATTTTTAGTGCGTAAAACTTTCTATAGGGCCGCAAATATAACATCTCGAGCCATGGCAATATTAGTTCATGGTACTATATAGAGAATTTCAGCATCGCTTCTTCCATTAAAATATTCACGTCTGATGACGTCGGCAATGAGGTCTGAACTCATTCCATAAGTATTCGACTTCGATCAAATACACAAATATAGCAAAGATTTACAAGCTTCCCAGCCGAGGAAACCCAAATATCATCAAAACTTGTCCAATTCTACAAATGAGCTGCTTCTTCGCCTGTTTTCTTCATTTCGTCTCTATTGAAAGCTGCCAAAGCGATACCTTCCGATCTTTTTTTTTATTATGCGAAGTTATACCTTCTGACCATGTCGGTCCTAAAGGAACAGTGTAGCTTACAATTAACAGGTTACACAAAGAGAGAAAAGCAAGCATAAGCATAGCATAGAAAGTACGCAAAATAATGCATGTTATATGTGGCCGTTCAACGATACATTGAAACATGACCTTCCAACGTGCACATACATTCCGCCGGAATAATATACGATGTGTCTAAACAGATTGCTTGTACGATAAGATTAAAGCCATTAAGCTTGCACAATATGTTTTTAAGACCGTGTGCTTTGTTCGGGGAGGACGAATCGAGCCTCGTACGCTCTAGTTTCGAGTCAGAGACGTACCCCATTCGACTAGGGCTCCCTCCTTCCGATCGTTCCATACAATCTATATGGAGCTCCACAATTCTTCTATAAGATGTCCAGATCTTATAATAGTCTAGAAAGAGTGATATCCTGCTCATCGATAAGTCTTCAATACAACTATTGAAAATACCTCTGACTTTCAGGGTGTAGGTGTGGGTGTGGGTGGGTGTGGGTCAGTGTGGGTGTGGGGTATGGGGTGTGGGGTGTGGGGTGCGGGTGTGGGTGCGGATGGGTGTGGGTGGAGTGTGGATGTGGGTGGGGTGTGGATATTGGTGGGGTGTGGGTATGGGTGGGTGTGGATGTGGGTGTGGGTGGAGTGTAGGTGTGGGTGGAGTGTGGGTGTGGGTGGAGTGTAGGTGTGGGTGGAGTGTAGGTGTGGGTGGAGTGTGGGTATGAGTGGGGTGTGGGCGTGGGTGACGATCTCGTCCCTTCCCACACCCACACTCATACTCACACCCACACTCACACTCACACCCACACACCCACACCCACACTCCAACACCCACCCACACCCACACCTCACCCGCACCCTGCTCCATCGAATCTACAACTAGATGCAGTTAATTATAATTTTAAAATCGAACGAACATACACAGCTATTGATGATCCATCACATGTTCAAAAGCAATCAGATAGGACTTGGAAATTCAAATTAAATGAAAAAATCAGAGTCACATTAACAATGACAACAACACAACGACGATATTATATAGCACTAGTTGATTATTTACCATCTGGTTGTGAAGCATTAAATATAAAATTAAACGGCGGTTTGACAGATGATACAAACTCATCAGTAATAAGGTCAAAAATAAATGGTTGTTATGGTGAATGTCGACGATATTTTACTAGTGATTGAACTGAACATGAAAATTTAAGAGATGAGCGTGCTGAAGCATTTCGATCATTATTATGGCCTGGTGTATATGAGTAGAGTTATGTAATGCGTGCAACATGTGCTGGAACATTCATTATTCCAGCAGCTAAAGCTGAAGAAATGTATTCGCCTGAAAACTTTGGCCGAGGTACAACAGAAAAGGTTATTATTGACTGAGATGCATGTCTTACATATAGGAGTTCGTAGTTAGTTTTTTAAATATGATCTGAATTTTTTATATCTTCATGACTATTCTTTTTATTAATCAAGTTATTCCAAAGTATTCATTTCATCATTCTAAAGGGTGTATAAAGCTACCATGATATAGAGCTCTGCAACGGTTCCAAAATAATTTTCTGGAGCCGTTCAAAGATGCATAAGCTGTTTCATTATTTTTAACGTTATTATGTTGTTCGACCATGCAATTTGTAGAGAAATGTGGGGTGGGTGTTGGTGTCAGTGTGGGTGTGGGACAATACAAATAGTAATACCCTCAGCCACACCCACACCCCACAACAATCTATATCGAGTAATTAAGCAAACAAAATTCTCAATATTTTAAGATGTTTTCATCTTATTATAAAAAAAATGAAATGTTTTTCGTTTATCATATATTTTCTTATATTCGTATAAAAAAAATGATACAACAAATATAAATACAAGAAATATTTTATAGAGCATGAAAAGAAAAAAAAGTAATTAAATTATGAAAAAGATTGTCCATAATATTGACGTAATTTTCTTATACCATTTAATATAACCAGTGCTTTATCTAATTTAATTTTCATGTTATGACATAAATGTCTTCCTGTTAATAATAATAATGCTCTACCATCAATATCATGTTCACGAAAAATTTCAGCAATAGTATTATTGGTTAATTTTTCAATATATTCTTCAACTTGAACGAGTGACCAATTTTCCACATGATTTGATAAATGAAAATTTTCTTTTTCTTCTATATTTGAATTATTTAATGTTGTTAATTGATTATTAATATCATTAACTGGAAATAATAGATCTTTAAATAAATCTAAATGATTTGTATAAGATGAAATAGTATTACCAGTTTGTGTTGAACTATGAATTTTTTTTGGAGAAGAATTTAATCGAATACACTGTAATTTTTTTTTAAATTCTATTTTAAAGAAAATCGATATTGAGTAAGCTAAAGGATTTTATAAGTCTTATGATTTATTCATCGAATTTCGAATATTTTGAAAATGCTGGATTTTCTAATTCTAAGAATTTCGGTTTTATTTCCTATGTTAAATCGAAGCTAGAATATCATTTGCTTATTTTCAAAAAGCTGGAAATTCATTGTTGAATTCATATGGACATTCCTTGAATATCCTTCCAGAATTCATATAGGCATTCCCTTTTTTTACAGTGTAGATTCAGGTATGATTATTGTTTTAGTTGTTGATGATGAACGAGAAGAATTTGTTGTTTCAAATAATCTTGAAGAAATAACTTGTAAACATTTTCATGGAATTGTTGATTGATTTTCAGTTGTGCATCTTATTGAAGAAATAGATCGATTAAATATTGGACATGTTGATGATGATGATATAAATGAATTAGGAAGAATTGTTCTTGTTCTAGATAAATCAGAATATGAAGAACATAATAAATGATTATCATTTGCATGATCATTTATATTTGATACAGCTAGAATGTTTGTTGATGATGATTTATCTATTATTGATGATCGAGAATAATTTTCTTCTTGTTGTTGTAATGAACGATCATGATCAGGAATTATAGTCTATGAATTATAGGAAAAAAGAAAAAAAAAATTGATATAAGATATATCCTGGTTTTAACGTTCTAGCTTTGATAAACAAAATAAAAGAATATGATATTTATTTTAGTTTATGTGTAAATGTCAGATTGAGTTTTTTTTTCATTGTATAGATAAGTTTACGCCTTTTTTTTCATATTATATTTCATTTAATGTTATTGCACTAAAATACATAGGGGGTAGTCAAAAAGTTCTCCGAACAGTACTCTAATTTTTTATCCGGATTGGTTTTATTTCTCATGTTGGGCTATTCTAGTAGCGACATCTGTTATCTATTAAAATACCAATATGAAGTTTCATAAATATCTATTATGGCAAATTTTCAACGAATTTTTTGAATAGCCCTGTTTTCAGATGGATAAACTCTGTTTACGTTCATATATAAAAACTCGTTGGTTATTAGGTTTAAATGCTACACAAATTCATGATGAATTAACTACTGCTAATGGACAGGATGTAGTTTCATATTGTACAGTTACTCGATGGATTGAACAATTTTCAAATGAACGAGAATCTGTGGAAGATAATCCTCGAAGTGGTCGTCCAATAGCCATCATTACTCAACAAAATATTGATTCGGTCCAGGGCCTGGTGAATGATGATTCACATATTAGTATTGATTATGTTACTACCATCTTAGACATAGTTATCATATAAACTATCGTGATGAATACTTGGAGATTTTAGTCAAAAATTTACATAAGAAAAAATCAGCATCAAAAACAAGTAGCATAAATTTGCATTATAAAAATGCAAAATCACATATGTAAGATATTGTTCTCAATCTTAATTATTTTCAAGAGGAGAAAATCAAAGTTATGGCTCATCCACTATACTCATCTGACCTTGCTCCTTCAGACTTTTGGTTGTTCAGTTGTCTGAAACGTAGTCTTGATACATATCCAGATGCTACAAGTTTAGCTAAAGCAATAGCCAAGGAGCTCAATTCAATACATATTCAAGAATATCAAAAGACATTCCAGAAGCGGATTGAAAGGATGAAACTTTGTATTGAACATCGTGGGGACTACTTCGAACATTTACTGTAAAAAGATTAGTAGAATGTTTTGTCTATGAATAAATATTTGAAAGTCCGAGAACTTATTGACTAACCTATGTATATTAACAAGCAAAAAATTTATTTTTAATCAACTTACTCTTTGTTTAATTTGATTATTTGTACAAATTAATGATTTATTATTTGTTGCCATCGTGATGAATCGCTCAGATAATAATGATGTTTTTTCAAGATTTAATATATTTAATTGTGTATCTTCAACAAATGAATCACCTTTTGTTCGTTTATTGATGTGTAAATCATCTTCATATGATCTATAGATATAGAAATAAAAAATCAATTTAAAAAGAAAAAGAATAAATATTAGTTTTACTTTGATCGTCGATGTTTATTGTTTGATAAATTTAAACTAACATAATTAAAGAAAGGAAAAAAAATAAGAAAAAATAAATTAGATTTTCTGTTAACCTGCTATTCAATGGTTGATAGTGATGACTTGTTTGTATGATTTGTGAAACAGAGAATTGATTATGTGGCACTGTTGTTGAACTATCTATATGTATTAAAATAAAAAAGTTTTATTTTATTTTAAAATTGTTTTTATGACTAACCAGTTGTATGATCTAACGACGAATGATTATCATTGTGTGTTGGTGATATAGGAGATAATTGTGTACTATATGATGTTCTCATTGTTGTATTATTTGTTAAAGCATCTACCGAAAAAACAAAGAATTTTTTTGATTTTTAATAAAAATAAAAATAATTTACCTTGTTGCATATCAAATGATGAAATTGTAGAAATTGTTTGTGAAGAATATTGATGTAACTAATAGAATAGTCATTCTATTAGATGATAAAGAAAAGTTTTCTTTTTTGTTTTACCTTTTGTGTTGAAAGATAAATAATAGGAATTTCTTGTTGAATAGTATTCATTTTTGATGAATCAGACACTAAAAAATACAACAAGATACTGTTCGATTGTTTATTTCTTTCGTTCTTTTTTATTAAACAAGGGAAATAGACGCTCTCTTTTCATCGACAGATATTTACATTTGAAAAAAATTTTCATTTGTTTGAACTGAAAACGTAACAGATTGATTAACTATTGAACCACCAGATACTGGTAGGATCAGTTCCACATGTTCAAACATAGACCATAGGTCAAAGTTTGTTTCTCGAACGATTGGAGGCTCATATTAGAGTTAATCTTTCCATGGCTTAACACTAAATCCTATATTTGTGGAATAAATCAATATTTAGTATTAATACATGAAAAACAATAGTTTTTGATGTTGATATTAATCTCACACACTATTCACGATTGTTCCTCGAATTTTCAAAAAAATGGCTAAATTTACGAGAAAAGAGAACAAAAGAATTATGCTACGTAGAAGTGACTCATCATCGTAAATAGACTCAATCTAACTCTATGTAGAGAAAACAAAAGATTGATATAGATAGATATTAAACCAAGTATGTAAAACAATGGATAAAAGTTGGTCCTAGCCTCGTCGACTGCATCGTATATTTTCGAATCAATGATAATTCAGTCAATGATGTTTTTTTATTTACGGTAAGCTTCAGCTGCATTCAACTATCCCTCAAAAAAAATGAGCTCCAGTTCGGTTCATTTTTACTCTCTACTTGGTATAAAAAATGGACTTTATTCATTCTATTAAAATATTTTTTTGCTTAATAACTTTATTTTTCCACTAAAATATATTCAGTCTGTTTAATATATAAAAACAAGAGACCATGGGCTTTTTTATTTCAAATTGAATTTTGAATAAAAAGAACACCCCATTTTTACCAAGACAGAGGGACTAAGGGGACTAACTAAGGGGACTAATGGGACTAAGGGGACTAAGGGGACTAACTAAGCGGACTAAGGGTAGGAATAATGGTGTACACAGAGACGTGCATGGGTCGCGGCTCTTCGGGAGGCACTACGTGCCCCCACGCTGGGACGCTGAAATAAAAGGTGTGTTAGGTGGGGAAACACGCTTCCCCACTGAATAGTCCGCTTAGTCCCCTTAGTCCGCTTAGTTCCCTTAGTCCCCTTAGTCCCCTTAGTCCCCTTAGTTCCTTATTTCAATTTGAAATCAAGTGCTCTTTTTAGTGTACTCAAAAAGTGAGTACACTACTAAAATCGGTCGGTGTGTCCGTCCGGCCGTTAACACGATAACTTTCGAAAGGAGAGTCAGATTGCGATGAAATTTTCTACACAGCTTAGTCTGGACAATATCTCGGTCGAGTTCGAAGGTGAAAAGGATCCGTCAAGAAATGGCTGAGTTATCGAAAAAATTGTGATTTTTGACCAGACCATCCCTGAGGGGGGGGGGTACGGGGATTTTTGCGAAAAAAACGTTTTTGCTCATAATTATTCACAAAATACGTAAATCGACTCAGTTTTTAACGCTGATTCTGAATCTGATATCAGTTTTGAACTGAATCATAGTTTTGTGTACTCAAAAAGTGAATACACTATAGAATAGTCAGTGTGTCCGTCCGTCCGGTTGGCTGTTTACAGGATAACTTTTGACAGCAGAGTCAGATTGCGATGAATCTTTCTACACAGCTTAGTCTTGACAATGTCTCGGTCGAGTTCGAAGATGAGAAGGATCGGCCGAGCCGTTCCTGAGTTATTGCAAAAATACCCATTTTTCCCTATAGCTTTCTATGGAAAAATGGACCCATCGCGACTTTCGTAAAAGACTTTTCCTATCATAGTCAATTAAAACCCCAACTATTATATACCATTCGATAGAGAATTTCAAGAACTACAAAATGATATATAAAACATAAAGAAACAAGAAGGTTGACTTACCAATGACAAGGACAATTAAAGAGAACTAGGTTATATTTTGGTCCACGATCTAATTGATCCAGAAATAGAGCTTTATCTTCCGGTCACACTGATGATACTTCGAGGTTTTCAGATATGGAGAACTCGAATGTGTACTGCACTTCCATCGAAATACTATTAGTTGCGCAGTGTCCAATAGAAATGAAGTTATAGGAAAAACGACTTTGTTAGGGTAAATCAAGGGCAAGAGTTCAAACTTGAGCTATATTCGGCCCATGTCTTATTGGTTTGGTAACACGCAATAGAAATCAACATTTTAAATGGTAGATTTCAGAGTATAATTTTGATATTCAGACAGTCTAGGATGATTGATTTGTATGATTCACTTTTTGAAGTACACATAACTCTCGGATTTAAATCCGAAGTTTCCGCATTTATTTCTGTTTAAATTCAGATTGAAATCAAATAACCCATAGTATGAAAAACAAGCAACTTAATTTATTTTTCGCGTGTGAATAAAGGAAACAGAAAATTAGTCTCTTTGACCATTTCTCTATATACTTTTCTCAATTGAACAATTTCAAAAAATAATGATTCAGATTGTAACAGAATAAATGTTTATTGATATAGATCAGAGACAGTCTTAGAAGTCTCTATTCAACAGTCAGATCAGGTAAGATTTCATCCGAATTTTGTTGAATCTTAATGAGATCTCATCAGAATGTTTGATAAGATTCGGTTGAATTCTATAAGAATATTGATGGGTATGGGATGATGGAAGGACATTCGGATCCGCAGTGTTGTAAATCTGACTAGATCACCTTCTAGAAAATTTCTGTTACATGGTGAGCAGTTATTGATTAAGTGATAATTATATTCGTCAACAGTGTTGCGTATTGATTAGCTTTACGTGGATGGAAAGCGATCTCAAACATTTCTGTTTAAACGTCTAACTTACTTATTCAAATTTATTTTGTGTAACTTACTCTTAATTTGTTTTTCTACGAATGACTATGTCAGTGAACTGATATTCCTGTTATATATATATCAATGAGGCCATCTATGCACATTTCGCTCGCAACCGTCTATCTCATACACCCGCGCATGTCTCATCCGCGGACGTCTATCTCATACACCGACGCATCTTCGTGATTGCGAACATTTTTTTTTTCAATGAAAGAAAAAAAGTGTCGGCAAAGCAGAATTAAGAGATGACAGACAAAATGAACGCATTATCAAAACAAGTGAAAACACATATAATCATATGATTAATGACAGTATTTTCATTCAGGAGAAAATGACCTCTCCTTAGAGTTATGCTAGTGTCAGAGGTAGAGCTCATCGGGTTCAAAACGTTTTGGACCTGGACCCCACTGATTACAACTTTTTGGATCCGGACCCGCTCAATTTAATTTTTTTGGACCCGAACCCGGTTGATCAAGACTTTCGGACTGGGATCTGATTGATTAATTTTTGATGGGTCCGAACTTGAACTGTACTCTTACTCCTCTTGATAAAATTTTCTAATCGGATGTTGATTCTTGCTCTGAAGATGCGATATGCTTTTTACTTTTTTTGCTGTTACATGACTAGTATACGTAGGGGGCTCAGTTCATATTTATTTCCAACTTAATTCATGCATAAATTAAGCTATTGGTAATTTATATTTAAAATAAATACAAATATATTGCTTTCATAATTTATATTTATTGTTATATATACAGGGTGATCCAAAAGTTCCCGGAACTTCGATATATCTACTTAGGGAAAGGATATTCCAGCTATCTTTATACGCCATATATTCGAGGTAGTCATTGTGATATTACGTGGGAAATTTCATCGCTTTAACTTACTCTTTAGATATTGTTTCGAAGTAAACAATAGGTATTAAATTGACCTCCTTGATTATTACTTGAATTTCGATAGCTTATTGAGCCCTCAAAAATTTGAAGAAGCTTCTAAGTGGTGAAAAGATTTTATGTGATACCATTAGCGGTTATCAGACATAGATGGGTAAATCCGTGGGGTCTCTACCACAAAATCCACAACTTTCTCCGAATCGCATGAAACTTTCAGAGTTTGTAGACCACATTGATCTAAGACTTTCTACAATTGCA